CGCGGCAGGGCCGGAAAAACAGCCGCGGACCACGTGGCACGGGCGGAAAAATGGCCGTGGACCACCTGGCACCGGCAGAAAATGGCCGCGGACCACGTGGCATGGGCGGAAAATGGCTCCTACCCCGAGGCGGAGTTCGCAAACCGAGGTAAAATTTTGGGGCCAGAGCTGGTCGTAACCCGAAAAATTCGCAAGCAGAGGCGTTCGTATCCCGAGGTATCACTGTACTATGAACATATCGTAACATTTTAATGCAGACAACTTATATCTTTGACTATTAATTACCTTGCAATGTTTCAGTGCTTCTTTATACTCTTTATTTCTTATTGCGTCTCTGGCACTTTTCAATGCTGCTTTCACTTCCTTGTTTGACATGACTACTAGTAATATTAACATAAGAAAGTTACTGATCTATACTAAGACATTTGGTATATATTATTTGTAAAATAAAAAATACAGTAGTTTACTCAACAGTGTAGCTAGATTAAAAGAAACATATTTGACAAGGACATACTGATTGCATATATAAGCAGCAGTAAACTAAAATTCAGGAGAGCTTTGCATATTATATGAAAAAAATTCCATGCTGGAGCATGCATGCGTTTATTCTTGCCTGGTTACTCTTGTCATTTAGGGTACCAAAGCCAATCACAAATTGAAAATCTGCAGTGCTTTTCAAAACCTAAGCTCTTGGCTTGTTACATTCTGTACAAGCCAGAAGTGTAAATCAAGAACAAATTCTGGCTTACAAGGAACCACACAGTAACCTTAAATTTCTCATTGATTTAGTTACTCGGAGTTCATTCAGTGTAAGTTGGAAATCACTGATGGTCATAGACCACAGGGAGCAGATCTGGGGGCTTCCCAAATGACTCCAGAAAAGTTATGGTGGGCCAGCAGTAGCAAACCAGACTATCCAATCAAGGAAAGTGCAGTACAGCACTAAAGTGTGAGACTGGCACTAACATTGTTATTCAGCAAAGATGAAAACACATTTAGAATGGGTAAGTTAGAGAGAATACAATTACAGAGTATATACAGGATTCACAATCCAGAATAAATTGTGATGACAAAAAATGATGAAACCTCTGCTTCAATAACACTACACAAGCCCTGGCCTTTTGTATTTGCATCCTAATGTCACATATAAGTACAGTAGGCAAATCCCACAGTTTGCATTGTGACATACGCGCTTTGTCATGTATCTCCCCTCTAGATGCCTAGGCCTTCCCATTCATCCCCCATTTGCAGAATTTGTGGAAATGCATATTAGCTTTGAAATGTGGGGCTAATATCATGATTTTCTTTCTATGGCAGTGAAGGAAATTTGAAGCATTTTTTTAGCTCAATAAGAGAAAAGAAAAAACAAAGAACAAAAGCATTATTATCATATTTTTATCCATTTTTTAATATATATTTCAAGGTAGCAAACATACCTAATACTCCTGCCTCCTATTTTTCCCCACGATGTTGCTTCTTTCTCAGTTCAACCCAGCCAAATTAAGCACACTAGAATTTTGAATAAAGCATGTCCTTCACTTTCAGAGATCTCTCATTGGTAGGATTTCTCTACATGTATTATTCTACAGGTCTGCAGGAAACTCTTCAGTCAGGTTATTCAAAATATTTTATAATACTATTTGTTAGAAGCAGCCTAAAATGTAAACCAGCATAATTACAAATATGTTGTAGATTTGAACAGAATTAGGGATTTATTTGAAACTTGTGTATTCATAGTAGGTAAACATCTGAACTACTGTCTTAATTCCATTTCACAACACTTGCTTCACTGTAATTCTATTTCACAACACTTGCTAGCGCTGCTATAATCACATATACTAATATCATTATAATCAAGTTATAATTTAAGAATGGCCATAATGTTCTTCAGAATTATATATACAACAAAACAAAAGACATGGCTCCAGTGAGCATAAAATAATTCAAAATAATTAGCAGAAAAACAACTATGGGAGGAAAATATAAGACATGGGTTGAAAAGTATGTGGCAAATGTGATGACATGTACACTACATGTGAAGTTGATAAATGAGAAAGAGGATTTAGCATGTTTCAAGCTTCCAGACACAGTTTTTATTGCAGAATTATCCTGCTTTGCTAACAATAGGAGGTAGGTAGGGCAGTTGCACAATGAATGTCATCTCAGTCAAATACATTATGAAGTTCTTTCTCCTTAACAGACTTTCTAGAGACAGAAAAGTGGTGGGGAAAACCAGGAGAATTAAAAATGGGAGGCGACGTTGCCCAAAATGTTTGGGTTGGGGCATCGCCCCTCTGTGCAAAAAAAAAAAAAAAGCCTTGACTGGAGACAGCCTAAGACGACAAGGCCAAAGGCCACGTAGCAAAGGGAACCGTGGACCAGGCGGACCTCCAGATTAAGGAGGGCGGGACACGGTGCTCAGAACTGCGCGGTGAGCCTGATCGCTTCGGTTTCCCCCAACGAAATCGCAGCCCGGCTTAAGCGCAAGATTAATCGCGTTTCCTTTGCAAACAAGCAAAAACCAGGCACAGCGGCAGAAGCAGCGCGCTCGGGGGCTCAAAAAAGGCCCACGGCCGCACAACAGGCACTCACCGGCTGTCGCTGAGCCCGGACACAACTACTTCCGGCAGCCCCAACAATCGTTTCCTCAAATTCGCAAAACACCGCGCAAGCGCGCCGAGTTTTTATTTTAAACTTCCCCTCCCTTTTCTCTGACGTCAGAAGACAAACAACGCGAGGTTGTTCGGTGCAGCTTTCGCGTGGTGGTGGGAGTTGTAGTTCATCGGTGGAGACGTTTTTATTCGATTCCACGCAGTTACTCTGATTGTACAGTATCAAACTTTTCAATTCTGAAGTAATTGGGGAGAATAAATTCCCTTTTACTACTGGACGTAATGCGTAGAACTGCACCTTTAATTACTGATTTTCTTATCTCTATTGCTGGTACATATGATATTAGATTATATTGCGAGCAACGCACCTAATCGTTCGTGAAAAAAATTATGCTGCAAAATTTCAGCTTGAAGATTGAGTTCTTATTTTTTTTCTACGCGAAGCATATATTCTCGCATTGGATTCTGACATTAGGTGGCGAGGACAGGACGACATCGCCGCACAAGTATTCTGCTTTCCTGCTTTTCTATTATTACCTATGGATAGTTCCACTCTTCACAGAACGGCGGTCCGTAGTCCAGTATCCATGCCGTAATTGTCTGTAGCCTCTTCCTTTGTCGCATTACATTATGGGCGCTATGGTTCGCCACCTCATTTTTTAATTTTCCCGTTTCACTCGCCTTTCGCGCGGTAGAAATGGATGAGCTTTTGCACGTGCCTAACCTCGGGCAGGAAGGCAGCAGCTCTTAATCGTTTCCACTCATTCATTTACTAAAGGGATGGGCTTTAAGGAACTAATTTTTCGCAATATGCATCATGGGAATCGTAGTTTTCCCTGCTGCAGCTGACTTTTTTTTCCCGGGCATAATGGTGTTCCTTGTCCGTCACGAGCTTCCTAGCAGTCGAATGAATCATCCGGCGGCCGCAGTCAAGTGATGCGTGAAGATCGCTCGCCTGATTGTGCCAAGTGAAGATGGGTTCCGAGAAGGAATTCTGACCGAAGGGCCCTGGAGCCTTTGGTCTAATCTTCAGGAAGAAATGGGTAGAGGGGGTAGAAACCCCGCATCCTTTTCAAACTATATGATAATTGGCTTGGGCCTCCTGCTGGTGCGATTTGCTTCTTGGAGACATGTAAAGGCGAGGCCTTTGCTCGGTCCTAAAGAGAAATGTGGCATTTGTGGACAGCCTAATGTTGTGATGGTGATGTGTGATTCTTTTGTAAGTATTTTGTTTTCTTTGAAAAAGCCTTTTAGAGATCTTGTTTTCCACTGTCTTTGATCGAAAGGAAAAAAGGGGTGATGACATGAAAGAGTCACATTTTCAGTTACCATAGGCTTCGCCAATGTAGTGCCCTCCAGCTATCTTGGGAGTATCATTAGTGGAAGATCTAATTGTACTTTAGGAGAGCATCATGTTCTGGAGAGCTCTCCTACCATATATCTCTTTTGGCTGCTTCACCCTTCTGTCTCTTCCCATTTGAAGAAGATATGGATGCTAGAAATCTGGTGCACAGTTTATAGTTTGCTAAATTTTATCCAAGTAGTTTGGGTACATCCACTGTGTAAACTGCAATCCTATGAACATCTGCCCATTGAACCAATGCCATATACTTCCAAGTAAACTTGCATGAAACTACATCTTTCCAAGATAATTGCTCTCCTAACTGGGATCACAGAATGAGGAAATAGGTTGTGCAGACATTTCACACTGTTCTTTGTGTACACTAGGGGACCTACCAACACAACTAATAAAATGATAGGTTGGATGTGGGACATTTTGCAACATTGTTTCTGTGTTCTTAGACAATGGTGAGGAAGGTGATTGGGATTACCTTTAGTGGATTTAGTGAAAAAAAACTAATGGATTTTGTGAAAAAATAGGCCTGGTGCTTTTCGACATGAGATCGCTGGCAAAAACACAGTTGCCTGAGCACAGGTCAGACTGGTATTGTAGGATCCCATTAAAAGACAAAAGCATTTAAACATACCATGTTTAAAACACAATGTAGACTATGAGAAATTTTTAAAAATCATGGTATCTTTCTTAGGCCAATCAAATTATAAGTTCACTGAAATCAGAACTGTAGCACTTATGGCTACAAGGACAGGAAATTTCTCAGTTCCAATATCTAGAGGAGGAAGGCAGAACAGAGAATATTCTCAATTAGAATTCCTTCTGTAACATCATTTGAAGTAACCCTAACCAGAAACCTTTAAACTTTTGACCCAATAGGTTTCATTATGCTGTTGTAAAGTTACTGTATTTTAGTGGAAATTTATCTGGTTCGTAGCTATAAATTCTGGTTCTAAATACATATGTACGTAGGAACTTTTTAAAAATCATAGTACTATCTGTCACTGTCTTCTGGTCCTTGTCTACTACCACAGTGTCTGGTTGATTGGCCAGTACCTGCCTGTCTGTCTGGATCTGGAAGTCCCCAGGATCTTAGCCCTGTTATTCTCCATGTCCTTCTGTGGAATCTCCCATCTGGACTTGAGAGGGTCTAGCCCATACACTGTGCAGACATTCCTGTAGACAATGCCAGCTACTTGGTTGTGCCGTTCAGTGTATGCTGTTCCTGCCTGCATCTTACCCCCCGCCACTATGTGTTGGGCCTCTCTGCAGTCTGCACCTTGGGTCTTGTCTAATGTGGTAGACCCCTGCTTCTATGGATCTGGTACTTATTG